CAGGCTGGGGTGGGAGGGAGGCGTAAAGCCCTTTGCTCTCTGTCCTCCGCAGGCAACTGCCGTCACGCCTATACAGAGGTGAGGCCCAGCCCACAGAGAGAAACCCTTAAAAACCTAGCAATAAAATGCTTTCACGTGACCTGCATTTCCATTTTTTTTTCATTTCCTCCCTTTTCCACCCCAAATAATATCAAAAAGCGTTGAACTTTAGCCTTGCTGTGTTTTTATAAGGCCTGATCTTGAACTCCCCATACGGACAAAACTCTCGTCAAAGTCAGCGAGCCTGCACTGGCAACAACGGGATTTAGCCCAGTCTGTAACATTTTAGGATATTGTGTTACTTCATAGCCTTAAGGAGAAATAAAAGCAGCTTTCCAAAGAACTGCACAGCAACCTGCGTATGCTTTTCAGCCCTCTAACAGCACAGCCGAATATTGAGGCCAGAGTTTGAAAAAGTCTTATTTCGAAAACCAGGCAGCTAAGCAAGAGTTGCCAGATTTTCACGGAAATGAATAGCTTGCATTAAGATATTCCCCCAAAAGTTAAGCTGCTTTCACTTAAGACTATACCTTTCGAAAGTCAAGTTTGAAAGAGACTGCCTAGAGGAACAAGCATTAAGAAACAAAAGATATTGGAAGGAAGATGTATTTTCATGGTCAATTTTTTGGCCAAATCCTACAACTCTTCTCCTCTTGGCACATGCACTCATACCTACCAGATGCACCAACAGTATTTAAAGACAGAAATCCTTGGAAGTAAACACATTTTATTTGAGTCGTGCTCCAAGAACAGGAGTCAGAACAGTAAAATATAAAAAAACCTTACACGCCCTCTCGTGGTAAAAACCCAAATGCTCTTCTTCCTAGGGAATGCTCTTAGCCCAGGGGAGCTGTTTCACAGGTTTTCCTCAGGAGTTTGGGAGCAGAGCTCCACTGTCACGTTTGGGGTGCTGTCCCTCCACGGGCATGGGTTTTCCAAGCTGGAGCTGCGCGGCATGGCTGGACGCTCCAGGAGAATCAGATTAACAAGGTGGCCACAAGGAAAAATAATCATTTTCAAAGGCTGGGGGACTCTTCAGTTCAGCCAGCAGGTTGACCCAGCTTGCCCTAGGGCCAGACCACTGCTACACTCGGGACAAAAAATGGTTATCAGGAGCATGGGACCAAGGTGTCCCCCATTTTGGTGACAGTGGTCATGTACCTGCAGAGGTGCAGCACCGATCTGCACGCTGCAAGCCTTAGCTGGTATGGCAGCGACATCCACACGGCAGGCCTAGGCGTCTGAAGGAAACTGTCCCTAGGAAACTAGATAAATACTCGCTTATTTTCAGGGTCACTGATCCACAATATGGAGTGCCGAGTCCAGGGGAAGTTCAAGGTTTGGAGAAGGAAGCTCTCCTTATCTCCTTTTGGTATGTGTGTTTGCACATGTACATTCGGGAACCAGAACGAGGGCCCTTACATTTCAAAACTCTGCACCCGAGGCTGGGCATACCTAAAGCCTTGCACAAAAGCATCGCTTCCGAGTCACCGTTTTATCAGTCAGCTTTGTCGTTGTGCTGCTGGAGCATCAGTGGTGACTGCTGTGCACAAGGAAAATCCCTCTCCTTAAAGTCGTTTGATGTTCTTTTAGGTTCTGTAAAAAAGTCTGTCTGTCACTATCCCTGTGCTGCAGTGCGCAGCCCTCCTGTCCCGTGGCCTCCTGTATATCCTCACTGTTGCGATTCTGATATTCCCTCGTTTCCCTTTCCAGGATGCCTTCGTGGAGTTGTATGGCAACAGTATGCGGCCTTTGTTCGATTTCTCCTGGATATCTCTGAAGACCATCCTGAGCCTGGTTCTGGTGGGAGCTTGCATCACTCTTGGCGCTTATTTCGGACATAAGTAGTGGCACCCAGTTTATCATGGATTACAAAAGTCTTTCAAAACAACAAAATAATATTTTTTTTTCTGTAGCACAATGATATTTTATGAGCAGAACAACTTCCTGGCTAGAGATTAAATCAGCTATTACTGCCAAAGGAAATATCATTTATTTTTACATCGCAGGAAAATTATTTATTAAAAGATATTTAGTTTAACCTGCTATTTTCAGCAACTCTGCTACTTGTATCTGTCATCACATCATGTTTTTATTAACTTCAGTGAGCCCCAAAATTCTTTTTTTTTTTAATTAATGCAGCTGGCTGGATTATTTTATCTCTGAAGAGCAAATATACTGACAAAGACATACCTGCTTACACGTACGAAGGCAGTTGTTTGAGCTGCTAAAGGCTGTGTAATTTTTGTTGGTTTTCCTTTTTTTTTTTTTTGATGGCTTGGATAAATCTGAAAAAAAAAAAAGAAAAGGAAATAGGTCAGTGTGAACATAGTTCGAACCCTGTCCTGCTGGCAAGAACTGACACAAGTAAATGATTCAACATGGTACATACATTGAGTCAAAATGGCAACTTCTCAAAGGCCAGTTGGCTATCCCGGCAGGATAACTTGGAATGGGATTGCCTTTGCCTTGTAAACATGCGCTTTCAAGTGACCGGCTGCGCCATCACGTCACATTCATGATAGCATCGTCCAGTACCCTAACGCATGGCAATGCAAATACTTTTTTTTTTTCTTAATGGAAGTGTGAAGTTAAATCCATTGGGTCTGCAGGTAACTGCCCGTCCAGTGGTTTTTCCCAGCAGTGCAACGCACCCAGAGCGCCTGCTCTCACAGAGCAGCACTGGCGTCTTGGCTGCAGCGAAGCCAGCACGTGGCTGAGCCCTGCAGCGCGGAGAGCCCTGTCCCGCGTGGCCTCGAACCCCTGGAGGCTGCGGAAGAGGCAAGAGGCAGAGCAGACCTCAGCCGAGTGACGGATTAGCTCCAGCTATCCTTATTTTTCTAACTGGACACAAAAACCAAGCTCATTTTCATGACAAAAAAAAATAAATAAAGTGAGATCTATCCTCCTGCCCCTCACCCTTGAAGTTGTTTCAGCTGGCAACTTCCTCAGACTGTCTACGGAAGGAAGGAAGGATGATGAAGAATCTCTCCAGACGCTCTCCCTGGGCAGAGACTCTCCAGCACCTCGGTCGCACGGGTGCCGGCTGGCACTGAATTTGAGGGAGAACGGGGCAGAGGACAAGGGCGCCAAAGTCATCGTCTCACCTTGTAAATGCGACTCAAACGAAACGAGCGCAGAACGCTCACTATAAACAGACCTGCCTGCTGCCAACTCACTATACAGGCTTATAAACAGAGCTGCCTTCTGCCCCTCGCTGCCACGGTGGGTTTTGCAGCAGGACTTTCCATGCGCTTGGAGGGGCTGGGGTGGGTGGCCCTGACGCATGGAAATTGCCATCCTCAAAGATTTCAGCCAAGTGATCCTATTTTTTCTGTGAAACTTTTGAAATCTGGGATTTGTGGATAAATGGACAGCCAGAAGGAAAAAAAAGAATTTACAATGTTTTTTTTAAAAAAAGGTTGCAAAAGCTCTGGATAAAACATACAGTACGTAAATACTAGAAGGGTCAAAGAGATATAGCGAATAAACTGTAGGAGGTCCTCAAGAATTTAGTTGGGTAACTTTGTGGCATTATATGCAAAATATCTCCATTAACTTGGGAATGTAATATGTTCAATGTTAACGCTGTAGTTGATGTTGTGTCTTCAAAGCTGCTTTTTTTTTTTTTTTTTTTAAGAGTTGGACATCTCAGCATTTGTACTGCTATTTAGTTGTGGCACCTACACTTTGTATAAGCAAAGAGGGAGTGAGCTTTACATTCAAATTTGGAATTATTTTAAATTTTAAAGAAATATGTGAGGGAAATGTTTCAACGAACACAAGAATGTGATCTAAACTAATGGGCTAAAAAAAAAAAAAAGGATAGAAAAGGAAAAAAAAAAACAGCATGAAACGAAAAGCACCTGCAATGTGTTTAGAGAGCTTCAGTTAAAAATGAGCACGCTCATGCAGGATATTTATGAAAACTTTTTGAAATGGGAGAAACTGAATATTGTGGATTGAGTGCGGGCTTTATTTTATTTAGCTATGAAGCTGAATTTGTCTGAAGCCAATTTCAAAACCGGAATGAGCCGGTGTGGAGCTAATATTGCATTTCACAATCTAGTCTTTGTTTCAATTTGTGCCCATGCACCCATTAAAGTTCATGAACTATTAGACCTCAAATTGTTTCAATATTGTTTATTTTATTAAAGGTTTACATTGTCAAAAATATTAAAAGAGTAACTATTGATTCCTGTGCTGCTATACTACCAAGATGATTTGAATGGGGTTTATTTTTAATATCTTCCAATGGCAAAAGATTTTTAAAGCTGCTTTAGAAATAATATGAAGAAGACACATGATACACATTTAGATAAATATCGACAAAATTGTGTTCTGTTGTGTCTACTCACTGGACTCCCAGTGTATCAGTTAATACTAGGCAAAAAGAAAGTCATGATGACTGTTGCTGATTTTATTTTATTAAAGAGCTAACAGACTTTTCCCATCCTGACTGCAGAATAGTTACAGTATTGTGGCTGCATTAGCTATAATGATAGTTGATAATACATTTATTAAAAGACATATTAGAAACATTGAATGTATATAAAAACTTGGACATCTTTAATAAAATCCTCTCCTTTCACTCCTCCTTTTCTTTTGCAATAATTCGTGTCTCTCCTATTCCTCATCATACTTTCACGTAGACTTTTTGGGGTTTTTTTCCTCCACAAAATGCCTTGCAGACTTTCATGCTCTTAAGACTATGCTTCAGCAAAAACCCATTCGCTGGCACTACCAGTGACAGGTAGCAGTAACTGGCCGCTCCCAGCGGATCAAAGCCGTAAGAGCAAGACCCAACTAACACCGAGGGCGCCACGGCTGGAGAAGATGAGGTGTGGAAGATCAGAGGACCACAAAGGAGGAGGACAAGAGGCAACAGAGAGACCAGCGAAACATCTCCCAAGTCCCCTGTGACTGCTACGTGTGGTATCTCTCATCCTTTCCCCAGAAAAAGGGTGACGTGAGCACAGAGTAAAGGATTGCAGGGACCACCCCCTCCAACACACACACACAGTTACGCTTTACCATAAAGCTTTGCCAGCTCTAAAGGCAGTCATTTGCAAAGAAGAAAATTCTTATGAATTCTTACAAAACACTCGATTTTGCTGTATTTAGTGTATTTGTCATTAATTCATTTTCACCTCATTTATTAAGAAAACAACAAAGGAACATATTTTGCTTCTGAAAGGAAATCCTGTAAGATCACCTCCTACCTATTATAGGTATTAGCTTAAGAATGAATGGGGAAAAAAAAAGATTAAAAAAAATAGAAATACAAAAAGCCTGAAATGGTTCAAGTTGAATATTCTGAAATCAGGGCTGACACAGAGGACATTTCATAAGTGACCAGGTATTGGATCCAGCAGTGGAGAAATGAGGCCATGAGGGCAAAAGAGAGCATAAGGCAGGAGGCTGGAAGATAAGGGGAATGGCACTGCCATGTAAGTTCAAGTTTCATAAGATGCAGGAGTTCACCCAAGACAGTTTGAAAACAACGTCTAACTATAACCAGCTGCAAATTTGTGCATTACTACATGATTTCCATTATTCAAAAATTTCAATTGCATTTTTTAAGTATTATAAGATTATCCAGTCAATTAATCTCAAAGTTCATTGGTTTCCAGTTGTGATATGGGATTTCCCAGCCTCACTAGCGTTGCACTGATAAAGAACCATTAGGGAAAATAAAAAGCAGAAAGCATCTTTGAACACAGAAGAGCTAAGGAGAGGTTGAGGTGCCGCAGTTGAGAGCGTATGGAGCCTGTATGCCCAAACCTTGCCTCCTCATCCTCCCCAGCCGTGTCAGTGGGAGTCAGGTATACATCAGGACTGCATGCTTTGACTCTGCAGCATGACGCTGTGCTTCACTGTGCATCTGCACTCAATTTCACAAGCCTAAAAATCCTTTTGATTAAAAATACAGTGCCGTAGCATGCTTAAAGCCTGTCTTTATTTTCTCTCTCTTTACACAAGCTAGCAATGTTTTGTTTGTATTACAAGTTAGTGGCTCAGTACTATATGAAAAAAATAAATGTCTTTTGATTTATGAGTATAAAAATTCTTTCTCATCACAGAAAAAAACAGCTTCATTTCTCATTTTATCTCTTTCAAACAAGACTAAGCAAAAGGAAGCCAAAAGAGCCGATTTATTTTGCATTTGTTTTAAAACGCACTCGTATACTAGAGTTAATATAGCTTCGTTCCACAATGAAATCCTTTCCAACAATTTATACAGCATTAAGAATTACACACAAAAAACTATATATTTTTGTAATTTAAATAGCATATTTTTTCTTTTTCTTCTGAATATTTGAATTTTAATTATCACCAGCATAAATGTACATAAGCAGGTATCGTTTATCCAGTACCTTTGGGTGATGTATGTATGGTAATGTAGTTTGCCAGTTTATCATCATTTAATATGATTATGTTGTTCTTTGTCTTTAAAATGTTATAAGAACATGCTGCCACTAAACTTTCCATGTCTGTCTAGTTAATATTGTGAAGAAATAATAAAGCACACTGTGAGTTACCTGTTTTGCATTTGAATTGCTTAGGCGTCCTTGATAAAGATCTACTCAAGCACCTATGAGTTTAAACCTATAGATTAAAAAGTAATCTTTCCTTCCTCGTCGTGCTACTGACACGTGCTGCTCTGTGTGAACATCTTCAGGCTACAGTGACTCTGTAGAAGTACTGCTGGCCCACCTGATTCTTTTTTTTTTTTTTCTGAATTGAAATATATGATGATGTTTGTAAAAGCATAGAGGCTAAAACTATGGGAACACAGAGAATTCTGAGATTTCCTTAAAAAAAGGAAAAAAAAACCACCACTTTTCTAATCTTCTTGATAGCAGAGATACTTTTTAAAAATAAATAAATAATAATACCTTTAATGTTTACGCAACAGAAAGACATTTTTAAATGTATGATTTAAGATGTTATATTTTTCAAGCTAAAAATCAAAAAACTTTCAAGATATGATATGGGTCATAAGATAGTAGATGGAGATTTTCACTCATACCAGGTTCGTGCTAAGCCTAAGGGCTCTAAGCAGCAGTGTAATTATAACATTCACCTTTGGGGCTTAACTTTACCAGCTAGTCTCCATCAGCTACACATAGTCAGCGGAGGGGAAGGCCTTTGAGGGGGGTGAGATTAAGAATAGCTAGGTCAGCTCATATCTCACCCTTTCCAAGCCAGTTTGCCAAGTATTGTGGGTTCCAAATGGGATGCTGGGAAAAGTCACATCTAAACAGAGCTTACTACACTCAATATCTGGAAGACGACCAATAAGGTCTTTCTATTAATGCAATTTAAGATGTGAACTAACTCTCTGTGGAAAAAGCACCAATGCTGGCCGCAAAAGGACAGGACTTAGCTTCCATTCAAGCACTTCAGTTGCTGCTGCAATATTTCTTCTTTGCCTGGAGCCCCCAAGAGACCAGTCAGCATCATGGATGTGGATGTGACGAAAACTGTTTCTGTGCTGATTCTGTATGATGAAAACCTTCAGAAACAGTCACAGTCAAAGATCTAATATTCCCCAGTGTTCCTCAGAGGCCTGTGTGCACCAAGATTCAATAACCCAAGTTTGATAAGCTGCTGCCATGTGACATGCAGAAAAGAGGTGGACCTGAAACATCTTATCATAGAGCTTAGCTTACTGCACCTCATGGAAATCAAATGCAAGTATTGGAGACATCCAAACTGGCTGTCTAAAAACTCAAAAGGATAAAAATGCAAGTCAATAAAAACCATCAGCATCCAATTTCTCCAGAATTTCTCAGTGTTCAGCTATACTCCTGTCATCCTTACATATATTTAGAAGCGTTTCTGGGTAAGTTTGGCCACCAGAAAATGAAGTACATTGATTTGAGTTAGAAATTTTGAAATCACCTAACTCAAAGTAAGTCATGGTCCTGCAAGCAAAAGCATGCAGCTGAAGGAGTACTGGTGCAAACCTTTATAAAGACAGGTGACAGAACTAAAAAGTCAGTCAATCTAATTATCTGGAGTTTAGCTGAAAAGTTGTTATCGCCTCAGTGGCCATTACCTGCGTGGTCAGAGATACTCCCTAATGCCTTTCTTGGGCACTTTCTTGAGGCTTAAACTTTTCTCTTCCTGCACAGTCCCATCATAAAGAGATCCTCAATTTATCCAGTTAGTGATTTGAAAACTTTCCCCTTTCCCTCCTGTATCCTCCAGAATATTAATTGTTCTCACCAAACCAGGAACTCTAATACCCCTTCAGTGAATGAGCTGAAATGTACTGGTGACACTATCAGCAGATTATTAACCTAGGTCAATGAGCATGTCTCAGGCCACACTACTGTGATCATAAGCCCTGGGTCTGTGCATTACTAGACCAGTACCCAGCTGCACTAATTTCATCCACATCATGCAGAAACACCTGAGCCCCTTTCTGTCACAGCAGCACTTGGTATGGTGTTTTCCTTGGTGGCAGGAGGACAAGCGACCTCTGACTCGGCATCATCTACTTAGAATGGCAAAAACAGGCTTCAGCCCATTCACCCTAAGATCTAAAAAGATTAACTTACCAGAAAAAGAAGAAAAAAGGTCACTTTGACTCAACGAGGATTACACTGGAGTAGCCCTTTGTGCCAGGCATCTATTTAAATGCATATCGTATTAATTCAAAAAGCACACTTTTGATCAACCATCATGAGCCCCCAAACTGGATTTAAATTGTATCACTGGAACTCCGTAGGAAACCTTTCCACACACAGAGCTTCGTGTCCTATACGCATGAGCTGACAAGCATATCTAATGCAAAGATACGAACGATTAATATGTGCAGCCTATTACTGATCACGGATCAAGGCCACAAAAAGAGTTAGTCATCACATCAGGATGGTAACAACTTTGACAGAGCCTTCTTCTTTGTCTCTGTAAGGGCAGATATTAGATTTACGATATTAGATCTCACAAGGATAGAAAATGGTGGTCTCAAAACTAAAATGAGGTGAAAAAATACATGTTTACATGTTGTACATTATTGCTGTAGCAAATATATATCCATTATATATTATCCATTATCCATTATATAGCAAAAGGTAAAAATAATAATAATAATGAGACACACTCCTCTGCCAAAAGGCCTCTTGCTGTCTCCTAGGGTCCAGTCTTGCCAGACAGGTGTGTGATAACACATAGCTCAAGCTGCCTGAAGAACTCTTGGCAACAAGCAGATGGAGCAGCACTCTCTGCAGTTTGGTACCGGTCTTGTGTTCCCTTAAATTAGCATCTCAACAGCATTTCAGGACTACTAGACAAGATAGAGGGATTAAAAGAAACACACTGCAACACCTGGAGAGTTTGGAAAGCAAACAGCGGGAGACTGAGGAGTGAACCACAATACCACAGGGTGCACTCCGACATTTTGCAGGGCGTTTTGGAAATCCGCTTCCTCCGAGACAGCATCGCTCAATGAGGCTCAGATCTATGACGCCTCCATGCTTGTCACCACGTGAGGCCATGGGAAAACCAAACTGATTTTAGCTGAATAGTTTCTTTTTCCAACAGGTTCGGCGCCCACCAAAGAGAAAGGCAACCTACCAGCAGAGCCAGCAAAACCAAACCCGTGTGGTGACCTGCAGCTTCTGCAGCTCGCAGCGGCCGGCAGCCTGCGATATCCCTGCGGGTCAGCACAGAAGCCACAGGACTGTGTCAGCATGACTGTACCCGGATGCTTTTCCCCAGGGAGCCTGGGCGCACACATACGGTGTAATTCCTTTGATGCGGCTAACCCGGAGCCTCACTCCCAGCCTTGTGCCACCTATTTCATTGCAGATGCAGCGCAGCCAAGCCGCTGCTGACTTCACCACTCTTGCAATTTCGCTTGGAGCCGAAACTGGCAGCAGACCAAGGTGTTCCCTCACGAGACTGTAGATTAATGTTGCCGAAGAAAACTGGCTAGAGGTTCATGCGGCTCAGAGCTTGCTTCCCATCTGGAGTCTAACTGAATTCCCTCCTCACCCAGGAGTAAAGCAGGTGAGGTGTCTGCTCCACTCAGCACTCTCTGCACATTACTAATTTCCTCTCATCCAATCCTTTAAAAAAAAAAAGAGAGAAAAACTCATCTTGCTACATTTTTGCAGTGTTATGGGTTGTTTTTTTTGGTTTTTTTTTTTTTGCCTTTACAAAAGCAGCTGTTATTTCTCTACAGGCTTTGCAAACATTCTTCCCATTATGTAACTCATTTACTGTTAACAGAACACAGCTTTTCCCAGCAAATAGCTCTGAAGGAAACTGGCATATTTTACACTTTAAAAATGTGACCATAAAAAAGAAACAGATGTAGTTTAAGCAAAGGTGCTAACTTTTACCTCCTCCTTACTCCTCATCCTCAGAGACGAGGTTCCTAGCGAGCCTTCCACTCTAGCTGCAGAGCACCTAAATCATTCCAACATTGAGTTGCCCATGTATTTTAGCTGAGAGACATAAAACCAATCTTTAACCAAGGGCAGACAGGCAACACCATTTCCAGTCCTATCTGAGCCACCACTTCTAGTTCTGGAGCTAGTTTTCACTGCGGCTATTTTGCGTCTGCTTCCACATTTGCTGCCAAGATGAAGCAGGAGGAAAGAAAGGCCAGCCCAGAGGTCATAAAAGATACTCAAGAAACATAAAAAGAAAAACATCATAGGGCTACCTCTGACAGCAATGAGACGGTATCCATGTTTCAGACAGATCCAGTCTCCTGCTCATGTCAGCTCTTGAAGGCACGATGCTAACTTGGTATCAACTGTTCCCATCATTACCTACTGCCAAACTCCCACTAATGCCAGCAGGAGCTCAGGAAGTAGCGATATTTTAGTACTTGCACTGTGAGTGGAGTCACTGATCACACTGTAGAGCAGATATAGCTGCTATATGGGACTGTTCAGCTGCCTGAATAAGATTTCAGATATTTTTACTTTTCTTCCGTTCAAAATGGTAATGGTGCTCAAAGACATCAGTTAACAATCCCCAGCGCCACTCATCCCTCATACTGACAAAATCCTGCTGTCCCATTACAATACTTGTAAACCCCTTTGAAAGCAGCACCAAAAACCACAACACAGTCACAAAGGTATTAGGAAAATGGGACACAAGAGACAGCTGTGCCATGTGCCACAGGTGAGCATAAGTTATGTGAACACAGCTGTACTCATTCCTTTGCTTATTTTGCACACTTGACAAGTGATATTTTGCCTCAGATTTTCCCCCTAGTCTTTAGGGAACTTGTTTCTTTATGCATCTGTAGAATGACATTGACAAGGCCAAGACTGAAAAGGATTTCTATTTACTTCCTTTAAAATATTCAGTTTCTCTCTTATACGAGAAAATCTAAAACCACAAAATCCCATGCTCTTAATTTTTTGTGTTTTTTTTTTTAATTTATTGGTTACTTGTTAAAAATCTCTAGTCAGAAAATATATCGCTTTTGGTAAGAAGAGCTATGCACACTGACACACACACACAAAAATGCTGTCCTGCATTTCAAACTGTATCTCCATTGCCGAGTCCTCTTTTTCTTTCATTACAGCTGAAAACTGCACAGATGTCTCCAGTGCAGCATTTGCTCATAAAGATACATTCATTGCAATGAGATACACAGCAGACTCCACACTTAACACTTGTCAACATAACTTCATTAATGTGTGTTGAGCATCCATTTGCTGGCCCTCACCCACTTCAGGAAAACAAAACTGAAGCACCCTTTTCTTCTGCCGTCTCCACCTCTGACAACTATCACCACTTATTGAAGTGTTGGGAAAATAACCCACTGCTTTTCCCTTAATCTCCATCAACTGATGCTACTTTGAACAAAAGCCATGTACAAACAAGCTCAAAACCACAAATGGAAAAAATCATTTTCGCTTCCCAAAGACCACATCTATTTATCTACTTGACCCATCCAATTAAAGGGTATGATTCACCAATGACTAGTAGCACAAACATACACTTATGTCTTGAATTCTGTCAAAACACTCCAAAAATAGGCAGCATGGAGTAGCTACTGTTGTCATTTTAACGATGTGCCCACAATGACTGTATCTGGCAAAGTAAGTGTTCTAGCACTGTATGAGCCGCTTTAATATATAAAGTATTTCCTATAAAAATAAGCATGCATCTTTGGAAGATACAGGATGGTAGAAGTCAGTTATAAAAATAATCTTTATTGGGTAGGAGAGATGAAAATGTTCTCACTTATAAATGTCAGGCAAGCTTATCTAATGCATGCTTGGGGCAGCAGCCCCAGATGAAAACAGTGAGAGCTGCTGGAACCTAAGCAAGAGGAATGCCCTTATTTCATATCTGTCCAAACAGGAGCTAAGCATGTAATAGCCTAGAAACAGAACCAACTACCCAAAGAGAGGCAGGTTTCACTTTTCTAGTAAAGGCATTTATTAGTCAAAATGACTTGTGAGTCATGCTGACATTAAGTTTTATATTGAAACAGTGAATTATTAACCACCTGTTTGAGTCACCACTGAGAAGAACCACCATCAATCTGCGCGCATGAACTTTGCTGTAAAGGTTTATTGACAGCAATAACCAAGAACTCAGTTACAAATGCTGCTCACTTTTCGTACTTTGTCAGGAACAGAAACAAAACGTTCAACTCCAGCACCTCTTTGTGATCAGGAGAATTAAGGGAGGACTACACTAAGACAGGAAAGAGCAGGTGCAAGTAGGATGCAGGTGTGCAAAGGGGTCCCCCTTCCTCCTACCTCATATGAGGGCTTCAGTTCTACATGATTTGCATCTTAAAATCCTAGAGAGAGCTAAGGGTGCTGTGAATCTCAAAGGAGTCAAGACTTTACTGACCTTCAGAGCAGGGAGAGCACAGCAAACCGAAGGAGACATGGATGCTCTAGGAGGTAGGGCACTAACCAAAGGGGATTTGGCTTAAGAGCGAGCCCCTGTGAATCATCCCACTGATGTCTCACTGCCCTCCTTTTCTGCCTTGCCACTTCTGCACAGCAGATCTCTGCACACTCATAGTGATAGCTTATGACCACGGAGCTGATGAACATCCTCTTTGCTGCCAGACAGTTCTCCCTGACACTGAGCTATATAGAGAGTATTTGCTATCAATGGTAAGGGCCCTCATGAAATAAGCCGTGCTGTGAGGCAACTTGCTCCCTGAGATTTCCCACCTCCCCTAGCTGCTCTGCCTTCATCTAATGGGAACATAGCGGGGGAAGGAAATGAGACAGCTGGAAGTTCCCTAGGAAGTCTTGGAATAGCTCTCTGGTGGAAGAGGAAAATATCCACAAAGTTATGAAATTACTTTTAAAACCAATGCATTTGTATTGCAGCAAGTCTGCGGTGAGTCTTTCTTCACAGGTGTGATGAGAACATATGTAGGCAATAAAGTGAGACAAACCCAAGTTCTGGAAAACAGAGACTTTCTAATATTTTATGTATTCTACTCAGTACTTACAAATATCGAGAAAAAAAGTCATACTGGGAAAAGTGAAAAATTTTGAAAGATGCGTTTAGTTTGCCAAAATATTGCAATCCATCAAATGCAAATTTTTGATAAAATATTAACTGTCCTGCTAGCATTCTTTCTGTATAATCAGGTTAATCTCTCTGCAGATTTAAGAATAATGTAGCAATTATTCGGCTGTGCCTTAACTCTAAAAAAATCATTTTTATGTATGTCACAGAAACAAGTAATTGCTTTAAACTTTATCTTCCTTGAAAACAAGCTGTAAAGTCTCACATTTCAAAACAGGCCGATGAACTTCATGCAATTTGTCTGCTTCCTAATTGTTACAATAATTCATAATAAAAACCTGAAGGGGGGAGAATTAGGTGCTAAAGAAAGAAGGGCATACATCAACCACCAAAATGAACCAAGATCAGATGAAAAAGAGAGAACAGAACTGCTATTAAACTTCTGGTTGGTCTTCACTGAGTCTTTTGTTATAAACTTGGAGTACAGCTGCATTTAATGAGTTTGTGTAAAAGCAGACATCATACAAATGGGAGAAAGTAGGAACTTCATCCAATTAGATAAGAGAATTGGCCAGAAGCCTCCCATGAACTGAAAAGCTCTTCCAACTTTTGGGACGAGAGCTAATTATAACTCTATTTCTGTGCCTGCATGATATTACTAAATTATTAAGAAATATTGCCCTGTCAAAAAACTATGTCACATGTGCTGACTTGATTATTATAGATAGAAGATTTGCCAAAGACAGGACTGGAAAATGATTAGACTTGACAACACAAGAAGTCATTCTGCTATCAAACTTCAGGGTGCAAATGACTTCTTTTCTTAAGTTTGTCCCCAAAATATTTCTCTAGTTTACCCATTTGGGCAACAGAGTGTAATGACAAGTGTTTCTATTTTTTTCCTTTTCTTTTTGGTAGCATGAATGATTACAATCAAGATATATTGATCTGGATAGTTTCGCTAAGTGTGTCTGTTTGAGAAAGGGCGTATTATCAAATGCAGCTCAGAAAATATTCACTGAAACTAACTCACTAAGTGGGCTATTTTTTTCTGCTTTTCTTTTTGTGTTAGCACACACAGCAAGATGAACAGATGTGAACTAGGCATGAATTGGTAGGAGAGTCTTGCTGCCTCCTGATAGCAGTGAGTATTTTGCAATGCCTGGAGTTAGGACTAAGCTATGGAGGAAGCAAGGAAAATGCATCCCTTCCTCTTCTCCCCCACCATTCCCAGATCATCTCCTGCAGATGCTGCTCTCCCTGGCTAGTCACTTCTAGCAGCCATGGCCCTAATAACCTTCTCAGCTCTGTGGCCTGCTCAGTACCCCAGACACCTCCTGGCAACACTGCTCATCAAGGCAAGGATTTCACAAGAAACAAATGACATTTTATGTAATGAGAGGAAAAAAAAAAAAGTGACATAATACGTGCCCATTCTGTGAAAGCACACACTTGGGGCAGTGAAGGGAGGCAGTGAATTTAGAGAATGTGTTAATAAAGTATTAGAAAACAGGTTCGCCCCCTGGAGCACATTATTTCACTTCACTAGTGTCTCTTCTTGACCAAGTGCTCACAATCATGGCCAACTAATATTCTTTCTGTTAACTAGACTCCTAGGTTCTGTGCATGCTTACAACCCATGCAGGCTCGTGTCCTTTGCAGGAGAAGGTGAACACACCAGGACTCCCCAGAAGAAGCAAAAATAAACAAATATATTTAAAACAAAACAAAACAAAAAAGCCCCCTCCCGAAAAAAGAAAAGAGCACAGCAAAAGGTTGAGGCTGCTGATTGGACAGCTGTAAACAAGGATGAAAGGACTTAAATATATGATTAAAATGGGCAGAGGTAAGAGTCCAGAACTGTGTTAGGAGGTATGGTTTGAATAGATTCAAGATAATATATTTAATTCAATTATCTTAGAAACAAATAAACTAATTAACCTAGATTTATATCATCAGTAAGACAACAGAGCAAGCAACATCTCAATAGGCTTAGCGCAGTCTTTTGAACTCTGTACTGAAGGCAGTACAGTTCCTAAACTAATACTGCAAAGGAAAGGCTTAAGGATTCTAAACAGAGATTCAGCCTTTGCAGACAGTAAATTAAAGCAGTGGTGCCTTATTAAGCGAACGGGA